TCTGTACCTAAAAGGTGATCATTGAGTTTAAACATGGAGGCAAGTACCGAGTGATTAACAAGATAAAGAGACTGAGGAAACAAGTTTATTTCATCATTTGATTATCAAATCAGAGATTCACCCATTATCGACACTTAAAATCATCTAAGCTATTAATAGAAACTACGTAGATATATTTGTCAACACACATTAGACACCAGACCTACAGAGAGTGTGAAAGAAACATTTCACATGTTAGAAACGTACCCTGTATATATAATTCCGTCTCCGCCCCATTTGACACAAGTCACAGCAAGTGTGTGTCCACTGAGACAAATTAAAGATTTTTTCAGTGTAACATCCCAAATCCTTGCATCCCCATCTTTGCTAGAAGTTACAAATCGACGGCATGGAGAACTAAGATGGACTGGTTCCCAAGATATCCCAGTAATCCATTTCTTGTGACCCTAAGAAAAATGTTAAGATCAACCGTAATCAGTAAGTCGGTAACTTCGACAAGATAACCACTATCAAGTAAAGACTTTACCGTAAGGGGATTGCCGTCTAGTTCTCCTTTCTTTGTATTCCAACAGCAGATTTCACCGGATTTACTACCACTGACAAGATGCTTACCATCGGGAGACCAAGCAATTGAGAGAACCCAATTCTTGTGCCCTGAAAAGATTAGGGACTGTCATGAGGAGGAACTAAACTATTCTTTGGAGGAAGTAAACTAAAGAGGAGAATTTACAAACCTTTGCAAGTAAACAATGGAGTTTCAGTAAAGAGATCCCAAAGGCGGACAGTAGTATCACCAGAACCACTTGCTAACTGCTTACCGTCAGGACTAAACGAAACACAAAGAACAGCTTCTGCGTGGCCTACCATTACCAACAACTCAAAGTCAGCAATTGACACATACTATAACAGTTTTGAAACTGAACAAAATGAACAGCACATACCAGCAATTGTTTGTGAGCAACGATTAACCGGACGAATTCGAAAAACAGCTTGTTGTTGATAAACTATGTTCAAAACCCTCTCCACAGAGACTGAAATTAACACACAATTTTGTTTAATTAGATTATTCAAAGAGACACACACAAACCAAAGTGCTTCTTTTTATGAGTGTTCTTTTACCTTTGTTTTTCTCCAAGTACTTTCCTACAGGCACAAGAAGCTCCTCGTCTGATACATAGAAACTGTAAGGTAACATCTCCTCCTGTATTAAATTTAACCAAATACCCAAAAATTCAGAAACAGAAAGGAACAAAAAAAAAAAACATGACTTGTTTAAAGAAATTTGGATTCGGAAATGGTTACGTTGTTGAGGAACCTATTGACGAGCTGGGTAAGCTGCAAAGGACCAGCACTTTGAGGAATATACATGGCAGAACCTAAATGAGTTCCTTCTGGGTCTGTTAACAGACACATCACTGTATTACTACTCATCTCTGCTTCGTCCGTCTCCATGTTCATGACGACGGCGACTGAGAGAGGAGAGAATTAGGTATTTGCTTTATCGGCTGATAAATATAGCCCAAAACTTCTTTGAGTACCTTTGAATGCATCAAATTGCTACCGTAAACCTATTTTAAGGTATTATATTAATTACACGTATTATTAATCAT